GGGGGGAGAAGCAGCAGCAAAAGCAAGTGGGGTGAGGGGAGAAGGCCACGCAGGGCAGGCCCCCCCATCCCCCTCCCTCAAATAGAGCTGGAGGAGGGTCTCCTCTGCCACCAGTCCCTCCCAGAAGGAAGGAGGCAAAAGACAAGGGTTTCTGGTTTTGGCTCAGCCTGATCCTTCCTGTCTGGGAAGAGCAGGGGGAACAAGGGAGACCGTGGTGGCCAGACCTCCACGGCCTCTGGGTTCCCATGCCTCGGCCTTCAATCCTGGCTTACAGAAGGAAGGAATCTACGAGGGCTCCATGGGGCTGGCGTTTTTGGATAGGATGAGGGTCTTCCCCTTACCTGAGAGGGGGTCATGCTCCGGGAAGGCAGGCCGATCGGCGAAGCCCCAGAGAACGGTGGGTGGCCCAGCTGAGCGGCCGGATGGTAGCTCCTCATGTCGCTGTAGACGGTCCGGTAGTCGTGGAAGGAGCTCCCCGTGGGATGCATAATTTGTACGCCATGAGGGACGACCACTGGCTGCGTCAAGGGCAGCCCCGGGAGCTGGCTGCTCAGGAGCCGAGATTCACTGTGGGGAGAGTGCGCCATCTTGACCTCCGACGCCTTGGGCGTCTCTTTGCCCGACTGCAGCGTCTTGGTGGCTGGAGGAGTCTTCACTGACCGCCCCTCTGGCGTCCTGGACTGCCGGCTCTCCGGGTGGTGGTCGCTGCCCACGGCGGCCATGTGCGGGTGCATCATCATCCTCACGTCCCGGGGTACGTTGTATTGGTCGAGCCGGAGACCCGTGGGATGCATGCGGTAGTCCGGCTGCATCACCAGAACGTCCGACTGCACCGGGGCTGATCCCCGGCACACTGGGTGGTGGTAGTGCATCTCCTCCTCGGAGGAATGCTGGGAAGACAGAGATGGCATGACGATGTCCCGGAGGGGGGCCGGCTGGGGGGTGCTGGAGCGCTGGGGCTGCAGGGCCGCCCGTGGGGAGTGGAGCGCCTCCGGCCGGATGCCATAGGGCATGCCCTGCAGCGGAGGGGTGTTCATCCTCACTTCACCCTGGGTGAGGTGGCCCAGGGACACCGTCTGGGTGACGCTGTGTGGGGGCATGATCACGGACTGCTCTGGGTGCATGCTGGAGATGTACTGAGGCACGGGGATTCCCGGGCACGGAGACCCCTGGATCCCCAACATGGCGCTGTTCCCCGACAAAGCAGGGGAGGAAGGACCGCCCGGGTGACAAGCCCTGGGGAACTGAGACGGAGAGTGGCCACTGGTCCGTGGGGAAAGGGGCTCCTGCTTGGTGGCACTCAGGTGAGGCCCAGCCCGCTCCCCGGGGCCTCCACCTCCGGCACTCACATGGTTGGCCTCCGGATGCATCTTGACAGACAAGGAGGCGTGATGAGGGCTCACGCCGGGGCTCAGGCTGGCTGGCTGGAGAGTTTTCGCCTCCCCTTTCAGGGCAGCTGGGTCTGGAAGCTTTTTGTTGGTGGAAGAAGCTATGCCCTGAGGGAGGACCATCTGGTTGTGGATGAGGATGGAGGGTGTGTTGGCCGACTGGGAAAGGACTTTGACTGGGCCGGGCTGTGAAGTAGGGGCCTGGACCGAGTGGTGGGCTGGCTCTGACTTCTCCAGACTACTGCTCCGCTCTTGCTTGATGGAGGTGAGGACGGGGGAAGGGCTGTATGGCTGGGTTCCCAGTGCCAGAGATGGGGCAGATACACTCCCATACCCCACCACTGGAGCCTGAGTGCCCTTCTGGATTGCTGGAGAGGAGCCGAGAGGTTCTTGCTTGATCTGAGACTTGGAGACAGACTGCTGGAACTCAATGTCCACAGCGCTCGCTGGCGGGATCTGGCTGATCTTGGCGCTGATCCGCTGAGGGCCTTCCGTTTTTTGCCCCGAATAGCTCAGGAGGACTACGCCTTCAGAGGTGTTGACACGCAGGCCTGAGCTGGATCCTGTTTCCACGGGACGGTCTTCAATCACAGACATAGACCCGGGATGGAACCGACTGTTGTCGTTGGTACTTGGCCTCTGCTTGTACTTGGGCGAAAGGGCGCTGACAAGGCAGGTCTGGGGCTGAGGCGCTTGCTTTACCAAGGTGATCCTGGGGGTCTCTTCAAGGTCAATGCTATGGGGCATCCTGCTGATCACAGAGGTGGCTTTGGGGGCAATGACTGAAATGATCTTCTCTTTCTCTGGGAAGACCGGGGCCTCTGCGGCCGCCAGTTCCAACGTGTTGGGGGCCGGGACTGCTGGCTTTTCATCCGAACCAGCTCTAACAGCCTCTGCGGGAGGATGGACAGAGGCCTCCTCCAACCGAGGAGCGCTGACAGGCTCAGCGATGGCAGCCGTGACATGTGTGGAGGCTACGCCGGCAGCACACACATACTTGGGCTCCATCAAGATCTTCCGCAAGGTGCTGGAGTTTGTGTCTATGTCCGATGCCTTTGTGTCGGGAGGCAGAGCCGGCGGTGGGGTGGAGCGGGTCCGGGCCTCCTCGTGCTTCACAATCCACTCTGTCACCTTGGTAGTGCTGGAATGAAGTGGAACCACCCCGGCAGGGACAGGCGCTGGGAACTTCATGGCGGCCAAAGGCGTAACGGTCTGCAAAGGGGCGCTGGGGAGAGTCACAGGGGTGTTGTCAGGTGTGGAGCGCAGCTTGAACCCACTCGAGCCCACTTCGTCGGCTGGAGGGGAGGGAGAGTGACGATCCAACGGATCAGGAGCTTTGCGCAGAGGGCTGCTCTCCGTGGTGGGTTTGTGAGGCATCACATCTAGGGTGGCCACCTTGCTCACGTCAGGGACACCCACTGGGGAGGCCGTGGGAGGAGAATGTGTCCCCTGACTGTCCTCTTTCATGGCCCCTTCGGGTTTTCCTTTGGCATCACTGGCAAGAGGAGATTTGCTTGAGATGTTTTCCGGCTCCACTGTCCTCATTTCCGGAGCCTCGCCTTTCTTGCTCATGCTGCGCTTGCGTCTTGCCCGGGTGACCTTCTGGCGGCCACGTTCTTTCCGAGAAACCTCGGCCTCCTGGATACTTTCTGCTTCCTGAGCTGAATTTGAGGATTCGCTGAAGCTCACTTCTGCCTCCTTGCTTTCAGTGTCTGCTGCAGATCCGGGGACAGGTGGGCCAGGCGGCTCCACAGACCCTGCTTCTGCCTCAAAGATGTTGATAACCGCTTGATCTGTCTCGGGCTCCATCACCTCCTCTCGTGGAGGCGGCAACACCAGCGGTACAGCCGGTATGTCAGGTTCTGGCTCAGCCGGATACGTTGGGGGAGCAGGGAAGTTCTCAGCCTCTCCGGAAATGTCGTTGATGATGGACCCAATGGCGGCAGCTAGTTCCGTTTCACTAGCCTGATGAGCAGGTTTGTCCCCCTCTTCCTCCTGGCGTACCTCTGATACTTCGGCCGCCTCTGATACCTCGGCCGCCTTGTAGGGGGTGATTGCTGGGCTTTCGGTGAGCTTGGCTATGTTCTCCACTGCCCGCTCCAGCTCGATCTGCTTGGCCAGCTGATCGGCCTCAGGGGAGTGTGTAGATTCACACTCTCCTTCTTGGGCCACTTCCTGAAAGTGGTCTTCGGGATCATTCTTTACGAAGGAGGGCGACAGTTTGTCTTCCTTCAGAGGGCTTCTGGTTTTGGGGGGTGAGGCTGGCAGAGACTCCCCCTCCTCCTCGCTTGGCCGGAGAGCACCTTTGACTTCATCCACGTTGAGACGGATCTCAATGTTCTTCAGGCTCTTCATCAAGGATGCTTTGTCGACCGCTTTGACGTTCCTGGATCGTCCCCTTTTGGCCTTTGTCACTTTCTCTGGGACAGGTTTCCGTTCTAAAATCTCAACTGGGCAGGGGTCAGGTGGGCTTTTGTCCACTTCAACATCTTTCCTGTCTCGCTTCGGTTCGCTGGCAAGAGGCTCCTTCTCCACCTTGGGCTTCCCGCTGTTTTCACCCACATTCAAGCTTTGGCTGGGAGATTCAACCGTCTCTTCAGGCTCCGGGGAGATCTCGGCCTTCAGCTCGTTCTTCCCTCTCTTGCCTGAGGGGCCGCCGGCAGCTGATGAGTGGCCGTGCATTAGCTTCTGGGATCTGGGGGACCTCCATCCCTCCACAGGCTTAGGGATTTCGACCGTCTCTTTCACTTCTGTTTCTTCGGCCTCTGGCTGTGCCGGTTCGGCTTTGATGGGGGAGATCTCCTCCTCGGGCTTGCGGCGGGCCTTGGGAGGTCTGCCTCTCCTCGGAGGAGTTGGCACCGTTGTGGCATCGGGAGGTTCTCGTTCCACTCTTTTCCTGGTAGACCTGGTGATCTCCACGGGCTCCTTCACAGGGGAGGGTCCTTCGTGATCCCCCGTGGTGGCATAAACAGACCTGACGTTTCGACGTCTGGTTCGGCCTACGAGCAAACTGGGCTCAGGGGTCTCTGGTTCTGTGGCAGCACTTGGGGATTTTGAAGCATTCCGGGATCCCTTCTCGGTTTCTACTTTCAGTTCCAGAAGTTTCAGGGCTTCCCCACGGGGAGAGCCGGACCTTTTCAGCTTCTCGCGATCAATTCTTTCACTCTTCCTTGTAACAGGCTTCTCCGGAGCACTGGCCACAGACGACTGGACGGGGGTCTTGCAACGTTTGTTCTTCGACGACTTCTTGTCTTTTACAACAACAGGGGGCTCAGCTTCTGCCTCCGTATCAGAAATGGGAGGTAAAGCTTCAGACGCTGCTTCCGCCTTCTGGCCCGCGGATGGCTCCAAGTTCAGAGTGGGTGACAATTCTTCCTCTTTCACCTCAGGCACATCCTCGGACTTTGTGACCAATTTGGGAGGTGGTGAGACTGTTTCCCGTTCTGGGTCAGTGCTGATGTCTGCTTGGGAAAAAGAAGATCCCGGTGTTGGTGGCTTGGTATCCAAATAGGAAGGATGTTCCACAGATACAGAGTCACCTTCAGCAGCTGCAGCTGGAAGAACCGTCTCTGTCCTGTTGCCCTCTGCGCCTGGCCGGGCTTCCGCCTGCACTAGAAGTTCTGTTTTCACAGGTTCCAGGAGCTCCGGAAGAGGCTTTGGCTCTTCAGCAACAGGCCCGTGCTCTGGTGGCTTCTCATCTCTTGAAGAAGAGGCCGCCTCCACCGGGAGCTTCTCATTCACCACCTTCTCAGGTATGACCAGTGAGGAGGCTTCCTGTTGTGTAACCATCACCCCGGCGGCTAGCCCAACAAGCAGTGGAGGTTTATGCTCTGGTTCTTTGTTCTCAAGCACAGCTTCAGGGGTCTTGGGCCGATTTTCCTTCTCTTCCTGCTTTTCGGCTTCTTTGGGCTTCTGGTCTTTCTCCTTCTTCTGCTGCATTCGAGTGAGTTCCACAAATCGGCTGTGAAAGAGAACCACTGGCTCTGGCGTGAAGTCCGACAGGCTGTTGGTACCATCCAAAGAGGTCTGCCTGCCATACAGTCGGCCAGAGAGGAAGTCAAGGTCATCTTCTTTTCGCTCCAGATGCTGTAGGCGCTTAGAATCTTGTTCAAAGATTGAGCTGTGCAAGAACCGAGAGGCAAACAGCTCCTGCCTTTCTTGCTGCTCCTCCTTCTGGTCTTCTTTTTTATCATCCAGCTTCCCTTCGGAATCTGTCCTGATCTTCTTCTTTTTCATGTACCATGAAGGGATAGGCCTTGGCGCTGAGTCTACTTTCTCTTTGTCCTTGTTGTTTCGAAAACTAGCAAACCTCGAGTCCCAGTCGAGAAAAGACCAGTTCTCTTCTCTAGATGATGAGAGAGATTTCGCCCTCTCCAGCAGTGCTTTTGTGTCTGGGGTGATGGTCTTGTCCAGTGCAAAAGAATAAAACTTATTCCGTTCTAAAGATGTTGGCAGCCTTTCCTCTCTCTCCCGGAGCTTCTCTTCCCTGTCCCGCAATAAAAAAGATAACCTGGAGTTTTCCAGTAATGAAGAGGTCTTAGGAGAATGGGGCTTACTATCACCATCATCATCCGAGTCTGAAGGCACCTCCCCGGGCTCCAGATCCCTTACGGACCGCTTCCGTATGCTTTTCCTTTTGACAATGCTGCTCGGAAAGCTAATCTCCACTCGGTTGGGCTCCTGTTTCACTTGGGCTTCCCACCGATGGGATTCCTCTTCTGTAGTCAGGGTAGATAGCTTTATTTTAGCCATTTCGGCCATCTGCTCTCGTCGACTGGAATCGTAGGGGTTAAATTTCAAGGCCTCTTCCCTGACAGCCACATTGGAGTACGGAGGGCCCTTTTCTTCCGTTTTAGGCGATTCTTTGGTTTCTTTTAATGGCACTGAACGCGGGGAATCCAGCATCTCCTCTTCCTCGTGGAAGTGGAAGGGCCGGAGACCAGGGGAACAGGCCATCCTCTCCGAGTCTTCGCTCACCTGCCGAGAGCTTCGGTAGTTTCTCTCTCTCTTGGTGCTGATCTCAAAGTCAAAAGCATCGGAAGATTTCTTCCGCTTACTGGGAGGGGAATCGTCGGTCACATCCTGCGGGGGTTTTCCCACTTCGTGCACCAGGCTGCGCCTCTCGTACTCGTCGAGGTCTTTCTTGGGGCTGCCAAACTTCTCATGCTTCGCAATCTCCATTTCCATCTGCTGCTTCAACCGGCGGCTGAGCTCCATTTGCTTCCGATAACTCTGCGTGTGGTCAATGTCGATGGGGATTTTCTCCTCCATCTCGGAGGGGGGAGGCTTGTCTTGGACATGCTTGTGGTCAGATGCTTCCTCTGGAAGGCTGCAGTAGCTTTTCCAGGTGTCCTCTCTCTCTGCTCCTGGATCTTCTAACAGCTGTGTGTGCTTGTGCTGCAGTTTCATCAAATTTGCCTTTCGAGAGGGGATCTCGGGAGCTTCTGTGGCCTCCTCCATTGTCTCTCCCAACCGAGCGGCCAGGTCCAAACTGGGACGAGAACCAACGCCTCCGGAAACACCTGTCGGCTCTTGAGTATCCTTGGGACTGGCAGCGATGTTGAGCCTTTCCAGTTTGATCTTCTTGGACTCCCGTTTAAGCATCTCTTTCCTTGGGGGTTTTCTTTCCGATTCACCCATCGCATCCATCTGCTTCTTGGAAACCACCCGTGCGTCCTCTTCCTCTTGACTACCTCTTTTGATTTCCATTTTTTGCTGCTTCTCAGGCTTGAGGTTGGCATCAGCAAAGCGCCTCTTGCGAGCCTCCAGCTTTTCCAGATCGACGGGATTGGCCACCTCGCTGGACTGATCCACTTTCAGGTGCTTCTTGGGCTTCAGCTTCCCGTCCTTGTCCACCATTTCAATGTGACTGGCAAGCACCTTCTCTTTGGGTACCTTCGTTCGGACGGGTTCCAGTTTCAGCAGATCTGACTTGATGGGCTCCATCTGAGAAGCCTGCATTTTGGGCTCAAGGGAGGGAGACTTCACGGCATCGTTCTCCGGCCGCCCTCTTAGCTTCTCCAAAGCCGGCTGGTCCATGACTTTCCCTTCCTTTTCTTTCACGCGTGTCAACACCACGCAGGGCATCAGCTCCAGGCGGTTCTTTGCCGTCCCATCTTTGTCCAGTCTTTCCCGGCTGGGTTTGCTGCCACTGCCTTTCACTTTCTCAGGACTGGGCTCTTCTTCGTTCTCTTCAGCCTCTGAGGATGGAGAGCTGGGAGAAGGCACTTTGGCCTTGCGTTTCAGCTTCTCTGCCTTTTCCCTTTCGAGTTTTTCCAGCTTCTCTTTCCTCGCAAGGCGCTTCTCTTTGTCAGGTCTCTCTGGCTCAAAAGCACGCTCTTTTTCTGTTTTTTCATTTTTGGGATATCGCTCGAGGCGTGTTTTGTCTGGCTTCTCATAGCGCGGGGGAGAAAGCGAGCTGCAGCTGCCACTCCGCTCGGAAGACCGGCTGTAGATCCTCCGCTCAGAGTCACTCTGCAGCCGCTCCGACTGCGATGGAGACACCCCAGGACTCTGCGGCCGCCGAGAATGAGTAGGACTCTGGCTCCTCTCGATGGGCCTCCTTTCATGGTCACGGTCCCGATCGGATTCAAACCTTTCACGCTCCCGCTGTCTGTAACTGTATTCCCTTATGTCCTGCTCGTAAGGGTCTCCACGGTAATCTCTGTACTCCCGTGGATCGTCGTAATACCGTGGGTCATAATAGTCTCCTTGGTAAGGATCCCAGTCTGCATAAAATTCCCTGCCACGGGCTGGATAGTCTCTCCGAGGGTCTTCTGGATAGGTCCCTGGCGTCCGAACAGCCTCGTAATAGGTACGATCAGCAGCATAATCATAAGAACCTCTTCTTTCATCCCTATCAAAGCAAGAGTCATTAATATTTTAGGTCAGCCAAGGTGGCTGCAAATACAGGCTCCATCAAACAACAAATTAAAGCATGGCTCTTTTCTAAGCTGCCAGCAAAGACTTTAGTTCTCTTCCTGCTTATTTCACCATGGAAGACAAGATGTCAAGGTTTTCAGGGAAGCTTGTTATGTGACTTTTTGGGGGCGGGCGGGCAGGGGGAGGTCACTCTTGACAGCAAATTAGGGAGGAGATAAGAGCTAACTTCAGCAGGAGATGCTGAGCACCTAAAAGGGCTGTGCAGCACCAGGTTCTAATCAGAGAATGTGGAGCAGTAAAAAGCAGCCAAAGACAAGGTATACAAAGCCCAAGGAAAAAAAACTGTTTCTGCTTTCTATAAATCAAGATTCCTGGCCATGGAAGAAGAACTTCATCATCATCATCATCATCATCATCATCATCATCATCATCATCATCATCATCATCATCATCATCATCATTATTGTAGTAGTAGTAGTAGTAGTAGTAGTAGTAGTAGTAGTAGTAGTAGTAGTAGTAGTAAAACAAACTGGCAGCAGAATAATGATATGTTCTGAGCCTTATAAATGTCTAGGCAAAGGGAAATGGTTTGTAGAGACAAACAGCACAATCCGGCAATTCTGACACCCCTCCCCTTTAAGAAATGAGAAATATTTAACTGCTCTGAAAGATAAGAACTGCTTTATATACTGTTTATAAGAAAATAAATAGCCAACATTCATAGACACTTCTCTCCTTAGAGAAGCACATGGTATTACACTTGGGGCTTATTCAAAATGGTCAATATTTTATTTTTATTATTTATCAAATGTTTCAGCTACTTGCCCACTTAAAATTCAGAAGCCACAAGTCTCTCTTAAACTAGGGATGGTTTTTAAGGCCCTCAGCATAAGGTGACCCACCCAGTCCTCCAGCAGATGCCCCGCCCAGAGCACTTGCCTCCTCTCGGCCAGCATTTCGTAGAAGTCTCTAATGTCTTGACCCGTTTTCTCCATGGAGTGATAGAAGGCCAACTGGCTCTCACGGTTTGCAAAATCCACCTGAGAAAAACAAGGATATTTACAGTCTTATGACATAAATGAACATCCAGTCATGGAAAAGTGCTGCCATACGTCTTTAAAATAAGGGGAAAGGCACTCAAAATCCCATTAAGCAAAACTTTTACATCAGAAGAACGGCCCAAATCCAGGATGCAGGCTAATTTCCATGGGGTACAAATGTCCCCCAAGCCATGGAAGGGCATGGTCAGGCTCTATACTCACATGGCATGGCATTTATGATGGCAGGAGTCTTAGGTGGCTACAGAACCCCCATCTGACCCCATCATGGTCAGCCATCAAGCAGACACTCCCGGGCCTACAAAGGCAAGCAGCCACTGTCGACTTTCCAGTGGTTAAAATTAAGGTGGTCTCCTCTGACTGCCTTTTGTTAAAAGACCCACCAGACAATTCTCTCTGTGCACACAGATGTCGGGCAATTTATGACACATCCACTTATTTCTCAGGAAGCTTCATAAAGATTGCCATGCCCAGTTTCCCATTGCAAATCAAACAAGGCATCCCAGAATACTACCTCACTTCCTCTGAACATGGGAGTCTGAAAGGTGCTTGGTAACACTTCTGAGGTTTTACCAAAAACCTTTTGCAGTTGCTGACTCTCCAGGAAAAGCACAGCAAAAGAACGGACAGTCTTTGTGTTGGGGCGTATGCTTCAAAATTACCCAACCATGTAGATTTTGGGTCTACATTTTGTGTAGTTTAACAATTGTGAAGCACAGAACACATCTTCCGTCTGCCCGCCTTGTCACTGGCTTTCCATGCATTTCTGACATACTCAGCAGCTCCTGTGTGTCTGCGTGCGTACACACCCGCACAAACAGAGCCACAGGAGAGACACCTTCTCCAAAGTGGTTTGACAAGCTGGGCAAAGTGCAAGGCCACTTCACAGCCTTGTCCAAGCAGGGAAGTCCTCTCCGTGTAGGAGAAACAGGCCCTGCCTTAAATGAGGAAAGCACACAAACATTTACTGAGCCACACTTTGAACTGGCCACACACTTAGCGACACCCAGGGACTCCCCCTGGCAAAAGTCCTGGATCCAAGGCAGCCCACAAACACAGACGGACATGTTCAGGAATGGTGCTGGGTGCAAAGCAGCCGCCCACACACTCGTACACGTGCAAAGATGTTAGTGACACAAAGAGCAGCAGCCAAAGAGCTTGGAAAGAAAACAAAAAACCAAGCAAAACAAATGACAGACAGGAAGGAAGGCCTACAAGGGGCAGCTGAAGGTGCCCTCACCCCTCTGTGAAGCAGAGACGGGGGCTGACCACAGCAAAACTAATCGCCCACCCCCACCCCTGGGGAGTCCCAGGCAAGGGACCCTGGGCCATTCCCTGGCTGCCCTATCAGGTTCTCCCACTTGCTCCTGAAGAGGTTTAATTTTGCAGACCTTAATTTTATTCCCACCGATTTTCCGCCCCTTGGTGTCTTTTACAGCTGCTTGCGCATATTCAATCTCTTTGTAGAGAACGAGAGCCATGCCTTTTAAGCGGTCAAACACCACCTGCAAGAACAAAACAAAAACAAAAAACAAAACAAACCAAAATAAGACCCTCATCCACAGGACGGAAAAATGAGTCCCAGTAAATGGCGGTGGTTTGATAGGAGGGGAGGGGCAGGGAGGAGAGGGAGACCCTCAACAGCCACAGAGGAGAAGGGAGTCTTCGGTGTCTCCCCCCCAAGGCAGCCTGTACGGCAACCGGGACAGCGTGAGGGGCCAGCCTGGATGGGGCATTTTGTGGTTTGAGGAGTTTTTATGCCTTTATTTTGTTTTCGTGCAATTTGCTAATTTCACCTGGGAGGAGAAGTGAGGTTTTAAACATCCTTCAATTTGTTCTTTCCCCCCCTTTTCCAGGAAAAGGACGACAGGGATGGCTCTGCCCAGGGAGGGGTTCAGCATCCTCTTTTCAGAGGCAAGTTCCACTGAGACAAGGCAAGAGCTCAAGCGGCCATTGGAAGGGAAAGGCTCGTCCAAGCAAGCCACCAGGCTCCTCCCTCTTGTGCGGTGCGAGGAGTACTGTGGGGCTCTGAGCTGGGCCCTCTGGCTGAGGGCTGTTGCAAGATGGCCTGGGCAGGTCCCTAAGACTTGGGCAGAGGGACTCGTACCAGGGGCTGGGAAAACCTGCCCCAGGGGATTCCTGCTGGCTGGGCGCAGCAGAGACCTTTGCCCTTTGTCCTCTCCCTCCCAATTTGCCCTGGGAGTCAAACACCACTCGAAGAGCCTTTTGAGTGATTTTACACCCCTGGACTACCCCACTCATGGCTTTTGGCTGGCTGTTTTGCTTTGTTTTTATTATGATCTTGCACTGTTTTTATCCTCTGCTGTTGATTCTACCGTAGACTGTTTTGTTACCATTGTGTGTGGCTTATCTGATACCCTTTTTAATGTACTTCGGACTCATCCCAGAGAATGTTGCTACTGGGCAGCTTGAAAACATGATACATGAAATATGCCACCTTCCATAATACAGCATGCCCTGTTCCTTAAAGGATGGTGTGATGCTCCCTCTGTTTCAGGATCTACCCAGAGCCTTCCCTGCAAACTGGGCTTAGCGCTCGGGGAACTTTGCATTTCTCAGGTTGAGAAAGGGGTGTTAATGCCTGCGCCATAGTTTTTAAAAAGCCCTTGGAAGGAAGGACAGGTTCAAGCCAGACAGAGACAGAGAAAGGACACAGCTGGAATGGGGCTGCTGGGAAGGACAGGGATGTGTCGAAGAGGAAGGAAGGCAGGAGAGACTCATGCTGTGTGTGGACCTGCTCCTCCCCACCTACCTTCACCACGGGACCGTAGCGGCAGAAGTGGCGTGTTAAATACTGATCCGTGATGTTGGTCGAAAGGCCGTCCAGCCACACGCAGTTGGTGGGCATACTCTTCCCAAAGCCCAGCTGGACACAAAAGGGCAAAAGCTCCAATCAGCTGAGAAATTCACATTCATCTCACTGAAAACCCACTAACTTTCCCACTGCAGGAAGGTGGGAGCGCGCGCTAGGCTGGGCTGGCTTTAATTCAATGTCAACCCTCGAAGCGTCTGCGGATACAAAGCCCTGCCTATCCCTGCTTAGGAAAGCATCTCACTCTGCCCAGGCTACAGGCAGGCCAGGAGGGCTCACCTGCCTGGAGCCTGGAAAGGGAAAGGATCAGGGAAAAGGCCAAGACAGCCTCAACTCCCCTCAGGCTGCAGGAACCTGGCCAGGCCAGGCCACTGAGAGGCACTCGCACCTCCTCCCCCCCCCCACCAGGATCCACAAGGAAAACAGGAAAGGCCCTTCAGCGATAGAGGCAAGGGACTGCACCCTCGCATTTTCTGAGGCTCCACGTCACGGTCCAGCAACCTCTTGGAAACAGGGGGTTTACCTTCAGCCGGTTGTTTCCCAGATACTCTCCATCCATCTTCTTAATGGCTTTGCACACACTTGCAATGTCACAGTACTGCAGAAATGCATACAGAGGCACGCCGTTCACCTTCTTGATGTCAATATCCTGTTGGGAAAGGGAAGCATTGTCTAGCTTGAGACAGAGGCAAGGCACGGGGAGCGCTCCACCGAGGTGGCAGCTGCGCCAGGCGGCAAGGGCCTGCTGGCCAAGGAGAGCCACAGGGAAGGTCTGGCTTCTCGCCTCTTTGAGGGCAGAGCCCCTCTGGGGATGAAGCTGCCCTCCTCCTCTTCTTGGTCCTCCACTAGAGCAGGTATCAGCATATTATGACTGCGCTTGTTGGGAAAGAGGGGAACCCTGACCTATCATATTTGGAGGACATCAAGTTGGAGAAGGCAGGCCTCATTCGGAACCTGGCAAGACAAGGCAAAGAGCTAAGAGGGCTCAGCAGTGCCAGGTGTTAGGGAAGCACACCTACAGGGCAGGGGAACAGCCACCATTCACCCTCAGGCACAGCATCACACTTTGACGAACAACAGCAACAACAATATAACAGTAGACGGCTGCTCAGCAAGGTATCTCAACGTAAACGTGGGTAGGCACTCTTTCTCCAGCAATCTGGTCTGAGGACTTAAACCTTTCTGGCCTAAAATCCTGAGGCTGGGATGAGTTTAAGTGGGCAGAAACTTCTGCTCTGCCCACCTGCTCCAGAAGCCAAGCCCCTGGAAGAACGACTCCTCTGCCCAAGCCAGAAATGGAAGCCAGACAGCTTCTCCTCTGCTTTCAAAGCAACACCTCTGCCCTCCTTGCGAACACTAGCCTAGAGATTCAGGCCTCTTAAAGAGGCTCCTCAAGGAAGAGGACATTCGGCACTGGACTGTTCTGGGAAGATGAGACACTCATTCCAGGAAGGCTTCTTTCCGCAGAAGCATTGCATTTGTTTCAGGCAATGGGTAACTAAGACAAGCCCTGTCCACAGAGGCTCACCTTGAGAAAATAATCCTTTCACCCTCTCCGACTGCCAATTAAGCAGCCCTTATATACTGTGCTCACAACCAATATGGAGAGGACTTCCCTCCTTTTTCCTGCCTTGGGGAGGGAGCAGGGAGGAATTAAAAGGCTCAGCCACATTTGGCACAGAGAAGTGGCAGCCCAAAAAGGCCACTGGACCCAAGGCCCCTGCTGGACACACCAAAAGGAGGAGCCCTCGGCCTGTCCATCTCTAAGACCTGAGGCACCCACCACGATCCCTCCAAAACGCTGGAAAATGTTGTGAAGGTCATGATAGGTGGTGGTTTTCTCCAAATTGCCAATGAAGAGAGTTCTTGTTGCTTTCGGGTGGAATTCATCAAACCTTTCATCCAAAGGTCGAAATTCATTCTCACTTTCTGTTTCTGAATGTAAAAAAGAAGAGAGGTTATCTCAACTTCTGCAACGTTTTTTCCAGATCAATCATCTCCCCAATATTCCTGTGTCTCCTGTGTCTGTATCATTCACATCAAATGGGTTGCTCTCCCCCTCCCCCGCCCAGCCCGGAAAACAACTCTAGGTCTAGTAATGTCAGGAAATTAAGGGCTAGGACAGTCCGCCAGTCTCTAGGAAACCATGGCAACTTGAGGAATGCATTCCATTAGTGGCCCTAAATTGAACAGACTAATCTGGAAGGAAAGCTGGTAGAGCAAATTCAGACTTGATTCGGCTGTAATATGCGATTTTCAACTATAAAAGCAAATATGTAGATGTAACTGGTGCGGACCGGACTGCACCAACTAACATGTGGGCTAGAACGGGAAGCCTCCTGCTGCAGCTTCTCCCCTCCCTCCTTTAGTCCTCTAAAAAAGAAACACACCAACAATGGGTGCCTTCTTCCCTGACCCCACCTCTGAAGGGCTGGTCTCAGGCCCAGCTTGTGCTGAGGGGCTCGAAACCTGAGAGGAACTCTCCATCTGAAGGGGCTCAGCAGGAGCCAAGGTAAGCCACAGAAGGATGGAAAGGTGATCCTGCGGCTGGCTTTCCTCTCCTTCTCAAACAAGGTTTTCTCACAGATGGGGCCTGAAACAACAGCTAGGGAGTCTCTGTCTGGGCTACTCCAAGGATCACGGCACAAAAGTGAGCTGGTTCTAGAATTCTCCGAAGCTGCTCACCCCCCCCACACACACACCCCAGGCCACTGGGTGGTTCTAAGTGTTCTTCCTGGTGTAGCTGTCCTTTGGTCACACTACAGCTTCCTTGGCTTCTCCTAGGGGCCCCAATCGCTGCCATTCCCAAACAACAGCAGTCCCTCCCTTGCACTCACCAGGCCCGATCCAGGCCGTCACTTCAATCTGCATGCCAAAGAAGAGCTTTCCCTTGGAAGCATTCAGGGCTTTCTCCTGGTCTTCCTGCTGCCGGAAGAAGACCAGCCCGTAGCGCTCTTCGGAGGCCCCGTGGATCTGCACCGAGGTCACCTTCCCATACTTCTTGAACTCATGGAACAATCCATCTTTAAGGCTGGTATCTACACCCCAAGGAACAAACCAGAAGATTCATGTTTGTGCTTAAAAATGATGGCCCAGCCCACGCTTCTCTTTCACCTTAGATGTGGGTTGAAAAGCACACCGGTAAAGCTGCTGGTTGGGTTTGGCCAGCACCGCTCTCCAGCACAGGCCCAGAATTCTCTTCCTCGCCGAGAGCCCGTTACGTTCTGCATGCCTCTAGTGAGTCTGTGGGTGGCACCAGCAGGGAGAGGGGCCTAGAGAAGCTTTTTGGAGGCCAGAAGAGGGCCTGAAGAAAACTTCTACTGGTCAGAAAAGGCTCTGAGCAGATCCAGTGATTCTTGCCCCTCCCTTCTCTTGATACAAAATTATATCAATTATTTGGTGGGAGAGGGTCCTTTCCCTAGGATCCTGCCAACACAAATTTACAGACATGCTCTGTAGAGGACCTTATCTACTCTGGATGTTCAGCCTAAACATTCAACCACGTTTGGGCGTAACATAGCAAGTCCCAGTGCTGGCCTGCAATTATCTGGTTTGGGGTAACCTTGACAATGTTTCACTTGTGGGTCCCCTAAGACGGCCAATCTATTCCAAAAATGGGACAAACAGCTCCATAAAAGAACACCAAGTTTTCTTTGCAGAGCGATTTACCATCTCATTTTTTTCCTGAAATTTCTGAGCATGTATCCCAGGAAACCAGAAGATTAGGCCCATCAGAAAGAAACCTAATTTGGCGGCGGATGAAATTGGCAATTATAGGCCCGTCGCCAATGTTTCTTTCATGAGCAAAGTGGTCGAGAGGGTGGTGGCTGATCAGCTCCAAGCTCACCTGGACGAAACAGATGCCCTGGATCCATTTCAGTCGGGCTTCAGGCCGCACGATGGTACAGAAACGGCATTGGTCGCCCTGTGTGATGACCTGTTGAGGGAGGCTGACAGGGGCAAAGTGTCCCTGCTGGTCTTCCTCGACATCTCAGCGGCCTTTGATACCACTGACCACGGTATCCTCCTGGGGAGGCTCTCCGAGTTGGGAACTGGCGGCCTGGCATTGGCCTGGCTCCATTCCTTCTTGGAGGACCACCCCCAGAGAGTGCAGCTTGGGGAGAGTGTCTTGGCCCCGTGGAGTCTCAATTGTGGGGTTCCACAGGGGTCGATTATCTCCCCAATGCTGTTCAACATCTATATGAGGTCGCTGGGGGGGTGTCATCTGAGGGTGTGGAGCTCGGTGTCATCAGTACGCTGATGATCCTCAGATCTACATCTCCTTTCCATCTACAGCAGGAGATGCCGTTCTGCCCCTTCAGCGCTGCCTGGGGACCGTACTGCAATCGATGCAGGAAAACGGGCTGAGGCTGAACCCGGACAAGACGGAGGCGCTAAGGGTGGGTGTCCCCACAGTGGGGGGTTTGGGAAACTCCCTCTCTTTTGGGGGGTGACCCTCCCTGCCAAGGATGGGGTCCGCAGTTTGGGGATCCATCTGGACCCGGCGCTCACTATGGAATCCCAGGTGGCGTCCATGGTCCGAACCGCCTTCTACCATCTTAGGCGGATAGCCCAGCTCTGGCCCTATCTCAATGTGGGGGCCCTCACTACCTTGGTACATGCGCTTGTAATCTCAAGATTAGACCACTGTAACACGCTCTACGTGGGGCTGCATTTGAGGCTGCTGCGGAAACTTCAGGTGGTGCAGAATGCGGCGGCCAGACTTCTCAGTGGGGTGAAAAAATACCAACACATTTCACCCACTCTGGCCACATTGCATTGGCTGCCCATCCGATTCCGCATCAACTTCAAAGTGTTGATACTCATGTATAAAGCCCTAAACGGTTTAGGGCCTCGATACTTCGCGGAACGCCTACTTCCACCAAGATCTACCCGTGTCTCTCCCTCGAGCCAGGAGGTGAGGCTGAGGAGCCTAACGCCAAGGGAGGCCTGGAAAGAAAAGACAAGAAATCGGGCCTTCTCGGCGGTGGCTCCTCGCCTCCGGAATAACCTACCCCCTGATATTTGCGCGGCTCCCTTGCTGGGTATTTTTAAAAAACAACTAAAAACACTGATGTTTCGGCAGGGCTTTCCTCGTCAGCCAATTCCTGATTTCCCCCTTTCTCCTTTTCCTAGTGTCTGTCCCATCTTGTCCAAAGTTTTCCCCTTACATAACATTGTTTTTTAATTATATTGTTATATTTTGTTGTAAGCCGCCTAGAGTGGTCTTAATTGACTAGATAGGCGCGATATAAATAAAATAAGAAGTAAGATACAGTGGACCCTTGACTTACAGACGGCTTGATTTACAGACTTTTTGACTTGAGAACCGCCTTCCAATACGGATTAAGTTCTCAAGTCAAAACCCCACTGTAATAAGAGGAAAAGCAGAAACAGATGGTGCATTATGCTAATACATGACTTTTCTGCATTACCTTATGCAGAATTCTGATACATTTTAAAAAGAAACACACCTGTACCTACAGTGGTGCCTCGCACAACGGGTGCCTCACACAACGATGAATTCACACAACGATGGCTTTTTCTGATAAATTTGCCGCCTCACACAACGATGTTTCCTATGGGGGATTTTCACACAACGATGTCTCTTTTCCCTCATTTAAAAGTGCCTTAAACTGTTTGAAACCTGTTTTAAATGCTTGCAATCGTTAGCCCACCTCCTGAAACCTATGCAAACTTAATTTGGTGTTGTTCTGAGTCGTTGTTAATTTTTG